ACGATAAAAAACGGTTTTGCTGAACAATCTAAAAATATAGATGACTCCTATACACAGAAAAGAGGTTTTGCTAAAGTATCTAAAAATTTAACCAGACACACAGATAAAAATAATTTGTGATTACCTAAAAATTATGTAGAACACTTAAACGTTGGCAACAATACTGCAAAAAGTTTTAACATTTTAACAAATTTAACTAATTTAAATGTTCTACATATTAAGAGAAAAATTTTGTGAAAATAACCAATAATTTGGTTAATATGTAAATTATAAAGTTTTTTATTTTTTAATTTAAAAATTGTTTTGTATTCCACAATCAAAATTTGGTTATTTAATAATAAAATTTAGAATGAACGACAATTTTTTAATTAAAAAATAAGAAAGTTTTTTGTAATTCATGTATCAATCAAATTATAGTTATTCATACAAAACATTTTTTATATTAATAGTTCAAACAAAATTATTATTCAGATCTATACTATCCCTAAAAAAACTTTCTTAAAAAAGAAAAAATTTACGCCAAGTGCATAAAAAAGGTATTGAATACCTTCTTGATTCTTCTTAATCAAAAACGGATATAAAATAAATGTAATTATTTTTATATTTTAATTTATAATGCAAATATTGTATTGAGATAATATTGGGTTGTCCGGAAAGTTCGTGCCGACTAACTTATATAATTTAATAAATGTATACTAAAATTTAAATTTTCTGCGTTTCAATTTTCCTTCAACATCGGCACGAACTTTCCGGACAACCCAATATATTCAGAAGTGCAATTAATGCAACCCGGGCAAGCCAAGTATTTCATGCAAGACAAATAAGATAGACTAAAAGTAATTAATCAAAAAACGGATAAATGTAATTAGCTAAGTATTTCACGCAAGACAAACAACATAGACTAAAAGAAACTGTCAACTGGATTATAGTGAAGAAAAAACTTGGTTTCCCTGGGTTGCATTAATTGTACTTTTATGAATATATTATCTCAACACTATTTGCATTATAAATTAAAACATAAAAATAATAGACAAATGTATATAAATGTAATATATACGTATGTATAATATATAGTGATATAGTCTATGGGACATGAAAATATATTCACAAATAAGAGACATGATATAAATTATGGAAAAATAATATACAATAATATTGATAATATTGAACACCAATTTTATTCGGATTAGGCGCAATTGAAAGATACGATATCGATGACATTATATAATAAAGGTGATTTTAAATTTTTAATTGCGGCTTTATTTTCTGAGTAATTTCAATCTAAAATTTGTTAATGTCAAAACTCCAGATAAAGTTAGTGATAACATCGCGAATTAGATAACGGCATGAATATATACGCAATGACATTCACACGTCAAATGGCCCGTTTTATATTTTTATATACTTGGCGTCGCGCTGCTACCTAGCTAAATTTTTAGATATTTTAACAAAATCATTTTTATTAAACTCGCATGCTTACAATTAGCAAACAGATTAAGATAAGTAAAGAAAAATAGAATAAATATATTAAAACATTATAGATGAATAAAGATCGTATCAAACTTCATTTCAAGCGAGGTGCGTATGTCACGAGCGAATAATCAAAGACGTGTTAAATTACGTTTTATAAATTGACTCAATTCGCATGACCGCACGCGCGACAGTAGAATTTCCCTCTCTCGATTTTACGAGGCATGATAAGTCCAGATTACTACGCGAAAAGAATTTATTGCGCTTCACTTGCGCTACCATTTTTGACACCTCGTTAATCCCGACGAGAGGCAATCAGAAAATATCTCGTTGACCCTTTTTATGCTTAAACGGTATGTCAACAGTTGTTCTATCGATTGCGAAATTTCTTGCAGAAAATTGCAAAGAAAATACATTAGAGATTGATAATAACGTCAATTCCTTGAAAATAAAACAGATAAATTGAAAATACATAATTCTTTTAAGATGATCGTTAGCATCTAATAAATTGCTTATCTTAATTTCATTTGTGTATTACGTTCTCCAATTTTAGCTTGAAAAATTTAAGACTATATTTCAAGACCATCAAATAATCAATATTTAAGTTTGCTTGAACTAGAAATTGTAAGAATCACGCAAAAATATTATTATGCACCAAGATCCGCTTTGACTGATGATGGCCTTTTTTAATTAATTGTATTGAATAAATAATTCTTGCAGATAAACCATATATCTTGACAATCATATTTCTTCGAGAATAAGCTAACATTCGTGACTATTTGTATGAACTTCTGTTATGAAAAGTTAATGTATTAAGCTATATACGTGCAGATGCGCACTTATATACTTATTTATGTTTAGATTCTAAATCATCCAAACTATTATAACGAGTTAGGCATACGTATCCGTCACAAACAAAGTTTAACCTTTTCGCCTACAATATCGTGTGAAACTCTGGTAAAAAAATCGGGCCAAACATAAGTATTACGAATGAAAGCCGTGGTACGTTCGTAAAAAGTTTAATTTTTTTTTAATTTGTAAGAGAAAGGTAGGGCAAAGGATTAAAGTTGTCGCTATTACGCGGAAACATCACCGATAAACACTTTAGATAAGTCTGCGATGATATCAAACTGATTTAGAAATCATCGACAAGCCAGCTGTTTTTTAATTTAATTCTAATAATCGAATCCTGTGATAAAATGCGTAGTTATTTCGAGATGTATATGCGAAATATGCAGATATACAGGCAATATACAGATGTCTAGTTTGACATGGAGATAGATAATTGAGAGAGCAAATAGACATGTAGATAACCAATGCACGTAGATAGTTAGCGATGTAAATAACTGGACGCGTACATTATGAGATAGGAAACGTCGGTGATTAAGTGCACTGAGCATCATAGATGTCAATATTTAAACGTATACATAGATGATACATGATTACAGACTTACAATTAAATTAAGATTTAAAATTACAATTAAATTAAGATTACATCGCGATTGCGAGTAAATAATGTGACTAGAGGTACAAATATACTTCAAAAATGGATTCACTACGGTAAAGAAACAGCAGCGTTTTATTCGCAAGTACAAGCTTACGATAATGTTCCCCACTAAGAAACGACGTAACGTATATTTCTTAGTCTTCACTTACGTTTCTGCGACCCGTAAAGACCACTTATCCTTTACGATAACGGCGAACATAGTCGTTTATGTCGATTACTATTTCCATCTATCGCGCTTTAGCTTCCAATATTTTTAAACGATTTTCAGACGATTGATATTCGCTATCGGTATATCGATAATAATTCTTGCAGATAAGTACAAAATTGTTATCAATTAGAAAATATGTTCATGACTCTCACACCATTAAATTCATAATATTAATTTATACCCAATTTGAGTTACTTTTAATAATTTCTATAGATCATCACTATTTCTCAATATCATTAATTTAATTAAAACAATTAAATAATTTAACTTTAAAGAAAGTATATTAAATTTAATTCAAGTTTATTATTTATTAAGTATACATGTTAGTATGGATATTGTTTGTTGAAACTAATCACAGAAATAAATGGATTTATATTTGGATTTATATTTAACACACAAGTTAAAAATGACAAATCGTTGCTTTAATATCTAACAGTACACATCACTTAAATGTCATCAATGTATCTTTGATAATAAAAGATATTCATCACGTCGTGCGATAAAAATGTATGTGCCTATCTTTTCAAAAATATAGGGATTAAAATTTATGACCAATCACAAATTTGAAAGGCGATAAAAATGTTGGCACTGCACTCCAGTCGACAACAACTTTGGCAGTACTTTTATACTTTCATCACTCTATCGATATTTTGTTCGAAATACGATCGTAAATTCAAAAACAGAACGTTGCTATCCAATAACGAAAAAATAAAAGAAAATGACAATTTTTAGATGACGCATAATTTTGTAGTATTATTATTGTTATTATTATATTTTGTATTTATCCTCAATTATTATATTCAAGTTTGTATTCAATTTTTATATTATGTTAAATTTTGTAATTCTCTATTTTGTATTCTAAATTCGATCTATTTTCATACCGCTTTGTTTCGCTTTTAACTAATATTATTACTTTCTCTTTCTGGTAGGCGTTAGAGCAGCAGATTTTGCCTCACTATTTTGTGAACTTAACTATTTTCTCGCTTACTCTGTCGCTGTTTTCATTTTGAAATTGATGCACAAATAAATTAAATTAAATTTAAAAAATTTTTTTCCAATACAGTTTGAGGCATAGGCGACAAATTCAGTATTTACAATTTAAAAGTTTAAAAAAGAAACTCATGCAAAGTACAAAATAAGTTTTAACTTTAAACTGTAGCTATGAAAACTACACCTATATTCTAAAACTCTTTGAAATTCTAAGTCTCTTTAAAATACAGAATGTAAATAAACTTCCGCCTTATAGCGATTGATAGGGGAGAGTTCAATTTTTTCATAATTTAGAATCAATTATAAAACCGTCGAAAATGTTCACTTCGGATGTAGACGACCCGTTGCTGTAGTTGAAAGTTAATAATAAGTTTTCTATTTTAATAATGCATTTCAGTTTTAAAAAATTCTAATAAGAAATCACATTTGTACAATAATTCTTTTATTCTTTTGACGTAATTTAACCGCTTCTTCTTTGTTGCACACACTAATTTACGAACGAATCACTGTGCTTTGATCTCCGAGAATTCGGTCATGGAAATTCAAAGACCGCGATCGCCGTAGTGCATCATAAAAAGAAAAATACGAGCAACCTTTCATCTCACGAACATCGATCAGACAGCGCTAATTAAGGTAACCCTTGAAAAAAACGCCCAGTGCTTGAATGCCAGCGGCTAGAACAGTACAAAAAAAACGCAACTCTCGCAGGATCGTTCCGACGAATTAAAAATAAAACAGAAGGAAGAAAGACATGCTCTCCTCGCGGATAGTTCATCATGGGAAAAATAGAATAAACGCCCCCGCATTTCGGACGCCGGCCCGAGGTAAAATAGAATTCCTGTAAATCAGAAATTTTTATTCGTTGAAATTTTATTCAATTCACAATTCAATTTCTACATGTCTCTTCTGATGATTCGCTTTTTTTCAAACTTCATTCGTTCGAAATCCGTATTTTTCAGCGGTAAAAATCAAAATATTCAATAATCCAACTAAAGCTTTCAAGTATCATGAGAGTTTAACTCAAGAATTTATATGCGCTTTCAGATATAAATTGCAGTTATATTACCGATGAACATTCTTTAATGAATAATTCTTGTTTCTATGGAGATAATTTTCCGAAACGTTCACAATCTAACAAGTGTTCAACATGAGTTTCGAATAATAATAGGTGTCGATAGCCTAATTACATTCGAAATTTGAATATGCTCGTAAATTAGAGCTTTATTGGTCAAAGGTCAAGAGATGCAACGGGCACGTCAGGAAATGCGCTTGGACCTCTCAACGGGATAATAGATGCAAATATAATCTGGCGGGCTTTCACGGTGCATTTAATGTTTCACGAGCGTACAAAATGGATAGTGTATGCCGGTGTAGTTGCATCAGCGTTGCTGCAAAGTTTCAGACGCCGCATGTAGTATCGAAAATCGAAAGTAAAGTTTGCTGATATCCAAAGTATTGTACACTTTTTTTTTCATAAATTTGCTGTATTAGTTACATAATTTACATATACAAACTCACTTTTCAATACTTAATCTTTTTAATTATTAATATTAATGATTCCATAAATATAATCAAAATGTCCACGCATGTGTTCTGCTTAAACGGTTAAGTTATCTCATTAATCCGAGAATAATCATCTAATTTTTTTATATAAACAATTACCAGGGGTACTTTTACATCCTAATTAAAATCATTAATAATGTATTGTATATTATTGATCATTTTCCGATTTATTAGTATTTGAGAGCATTATGGATATTAATCATAATTTCCTGGAAAAATAAAAACCAAACAGATATTAAGCGGAAATAGCATGTTAAATAATTTTATTATGACAATATTTCCAACAATAAAGATTTTAATATAACACTTTGTTATTGCAGATTTTCGATGAAATTGCATATTTAAAAGTTGCAGATTTAAAAGTAAAGAATAATCATTAAAAAAGAAAGGAAACATATTAAACAATATTCATATAAAACAATATTTTACAACAATTTATATTTTTATATTTTAATTAGTATTATTATTTATATTTTAATTTATATTTTTTCGCTGCTGAGATATAAAAACACCCCAGGTGACTATTCCGAGTTAATTGTTATTGTGAAGAAGATCGATTTTCCGCATATTGGATTAATAGCGCACATTCTTCGAATTGCATGTTCTCGAAGTTTTAAAAAAACATTTTCTTTTAATTTAAACTGTAACTCGCTGCGACGAATAATATCTCTCAAAACATGATAGACACGCGTATGAAATAATTTTATTTCTTATATTTCCCTCGTCATTGGTTTCTACTGCGACTTTTCGCGTTGTATGCGTTCTTTTCTGCAAATATCGGATATACGCGAGTATATAAATATAATCCATTACATACTAAGATTAAATTTCCTGAAAACGCAACGGTTTCAATAACAGTCAAGATAAAATATGTTTGCAAGGTAGCCGAATGTCAAATTAGCATACTGTAAACATTTCTACATGTTAACTAAAGTAATATTAAAAAAAAAAATGACGTAGAATCGATAACATAAATTGTTTAGTTATTGTAAAAATGCCAGATATACATATTAATGGGAGCTCTTACTTTCCATAAATCTATTGTCTTGATTTCGAATGCGACAATAAAACAAACATTTGTATTGTAACGTCATATCGGCGATTATCGATTCCGATCGATTATACTTGTCCGCGGTAGTAAACGATACAGAAAGAAAACTTCGGCATTCGGTTACTGTACGATATTACAGTGGCGAGCAATAAACCGCGCCATGTATTATTTGGTAGAGGCTGCGACTATGAATCTTTCATAATATCGTCGAGAACGAACGGAGAGAGTAACAGAGTACGGGAATAAAAAGAAGTTTCAGAATGTACCTTAACAAACATGTATTTACATATTGATTTATTCATTTAAAATGACTTTCTCGACATTCTGCGCTAGCAACTGAAGATTTTGTGGAATTCAAAGATTCTAAAACTTTGAAAACTTACAGCAATAATATGCTAAATTACAGAACGAATGTTCGCGGAACATTCTTATATCTTTTCTCTATTTGATTATACTTGCGATAATATTCTCTAGCTTTCTTTGCGGAAAACTATGTAATACTTTTAAAATAGTTAAAAGATATAATAGTTATACGAAACATATATTACATACATTTCTTTATCTCAATGAATCTTTTAATTTACTCAATAAAAATATTTAAATTTTTAAAATTAATAACAAAGTAGAAAAAACAAATAATTAATTATTAAAATTCAAATCGAATGCAAATAAGAAATTTAAATCGCAATAATATAAAGCTAGCGGGAGCTATAAAATTTCGCGGCTATCGAAAAATACTAAATAAAAGCAATTTAGGGGAAGAAGTAGATTAAAAAATTTACCAGACCATTAGAGAACCGTATGACCTGGAGGAGATAATTCGCGGAGAACGTTACAACCAATTCACGAGCCGAACGAGAATTACATAAATATAAGATACCCAATGCTAGCGCGCAGTAGAGATAGTACAGTATTGGTCAGACGTGGCGTCGTCTATTCGAGAACAGAGAGTGGAGAGAGGATTTCAATATAGAAGCTCGGTGAAACGAGGGTCGACGTGCCACCGCTACTGAAAGTCAGAGCTGAGGATTAGTACGTACACGAGCGAAGCCCACATGGCCGGGAGATAATGGATTATCAGACGGTGAAATTAGTAAGTGGCTTTGTCGTAATTGCGCTAAAGCATCGCGGCGCATTGCGTTCGTATGTCAGCGACCGATCTCTTCTAATATCCGCAAGAACTCATCGGGAATGTAACGATCCCGCAATATAGTGCATTCCAGAAACTCATGAGGATGAAAAATCGCTCTTTTCCTGCCTGAAGGGATATTATACGATAACGAGGGGAAACATCACGACGAGCGTTGCACTCGCATGCTGTTAACATGTGTTTGTACTAACCCACCGCATAGTTATGATTATACTGCACTGCACTAGAAACTACACGATGTCGAGGCACACGAAGTAATTTCGAATTCGTGTATACGCGCGCTCTTAATTGAGCAAATATAACACCGCGATGTTTAACGAAGGGATACGGCAACACGAAGGATACATTGCGGATCTACCTACTGGAATTTCGTCCTTGTATGTTCTGCGTAAAATGCGGCTGTCAATTTCGCGGCGCTTCAATCTACTGAGACTCGCGAATTCACGAATGTTGTTGAATTTTCAAAAATTCGTGATACTTATTTTTTTACATTTTTTTCCTTCCTTCCTTCCTTGTAGAGGGTAGATTCTTCTTTTTGCGAATAACTTGTCGAGAACGCGAAATGTTCCTTCAGGGCGATGATATTGAGAATCTTTAATGCGGCTTCGAGTGCAGTGGATGACGAGAACGACGGCAGTCGTTCCACCATAATCCGGTATGCTATCGGAAAATCCAGTACTAACCCCCGACAAGCTTATCTACCTCGTTAGCACGCGGGATTCCTAGAATAATTTTTCTTCCTTCGAAAGGAAGAAGATCCGGCGATGCAAATTCGTTATCCGCGCGATACCCGAGGCAATTAAAGTAAAAGCGATTCAAGTTAATGATGCTAACCCGATTATGTCGGCACGAAGTTAGCACTCACGATGGCAATACACTATTCGTGCCGACTTCTTAACATCGCGACCATCAGCTTTAATTTCCTCAAGGCAAAAGCTGTTAATTGAATTCGCAAGTTTTTTCGCAATCGGTTTTTAGATGCTCAAACAGTTGTGAGTGTTCGTTCACACGAGTTTTCTCGTCTCTCATCACTCGTGGATTATCTGGTTTTGTTAAATTTAGCTATATCAACATTTTCTAGAACAGGGAATTCAAAAACTTTTAGAAAGTCATATATTTATATTGTTATATATTGTTACCGTTTACTTTTTACACTGTAAATAATTACGTAAAATTATAATGTATGTAAAAATTACACAATTTATAATAAAAGTATATAAAATTATGCGTTATTACAAAAATTAGTATTTTTTAATTGTGTTAAATATATCTTTATATTAGATAAAAAATTATATAGCAGTAGTATATTTTATAGTTTCTATGTAACGAATTTGTAATATTATATATTTAACATAATGGTAACATATCACTTATTATATTTGTATTCTTATGTTTATACATATAACTCAAGAAAAATTGTATGCAAATTTGTTGATAAATTAAATATTTCTATAAACTTAACTTCAACAATTGTAAATTTACTTTGCAAATTACTTAATTAGTATAAGGAATTATTTTATTTGTAAGTTGTAAATTTATGTGTATAAATATATACTTTTAATATTGAATCCCAAACTAGTATAATTATTGTAATTTTACATGTAATGTTTTTATAGAAAAATGCGAAATATTAATTGAAATATAATTTATTATAATCGCTATAAAATGAGTGACGCTAATAAAATAGTGGGCAAGAAACTGCGACATTGTCGACAACAACTTCCCTTTTAGAAATTATATCAAGTATCTACTTATACCGGCGGCAAAGCCAAGAAACAAACATTTGAAATATGGTGGATAAATCTGCAGTATCCTCGAGGACATAATGCAATATAAAGTTGTACTCTCTGTATCGCATTGTTTTCCTTGCTTTCACTGTTCTTTTCTATACCTGTGTTCTTTCTATTATACAGTGACTTTTTCTCGCATTCTGCCTCTCCTTTTACATCAAGAAATGTTTCATAAAAAAAAATCAGTTGTAATCGATCGTCGTCTAGATTCGATCTTATTTCGAAGAGAGTTTACGATAATGGGGTATCGCCTCACCGGATAGCTTACCATAGATGTGGGCTATACTTTACCGAACATTATCATTAAGATAAAAATGCCAGCGATAAAAAGGAGATGGGACATCGAAGAGTCCGCCGGACGATAACCTCTGACTCGCGTTTAGTTATAGTGAGTCTGAAGGTTACAAAGGCGAGTGGGAAGCAAAATCAATAGCGCAACTAATAATAAGCGCCGAATCCCCTAAAGTGATGACGTTACATCCAATTTGTACCCTATTCTTCGCGAGACTTCGGCTAGAGGCTTCGGCTTTGTGGATTTTAAAGATGATCACCCGGAAATAAAAACTCAGGACAGTGAAAAACGAGCTGCCTCTATTTTTTTATTCTATCTTTTATCTTTATCTCTTGGAGCTTTCGGTTTATCTGAATGAAAATTTATAAGCAATCGATTACGAGAATTCATATTATAACATCCCAGATAGCAAATTATCGACATTTTGTCAAAATAACGAGAAACAACATCAGCTTGTTGCCTGGAATTGAAAAAACGGTTCGCTAAAGTACTTAAAAATTTAACTGGATACACAAATCTGAAAATAATTTTGCTGGACCATCAAGTTAATTATACAAAACGCTTAAACTTTGATAACAATACCGCAAAAAGTTTTAACATTTTAGCAATCAGTTTGAGCGTTTTTACACAGTTATTTTGATTGATTCAAACAAAATTATTTTTCAAATTTGTATCTGGCTAAATTTTTAAATATTTCAGTAAAACCTTCCGTGAATGAATGCGTAATACGTTACCCTTTCTATTGTATAGTCTTTAATCGAGTACTGACTTGCCAATATATACGCTTAACAGCTTTCGCGCTTAACTGACGCTCTAAACAAATGACTGTAACCGCAAGCGAGCGATAGTTTTCACTGTTCGCATAGTTCCGACCTGGCATACCAGTGGCGAACCGAAAATTTACGCTTCCCGAAATCCTTCAGAATTTCATGATCGCCCGTACATCTACCCAGAGGCGCGTGCGCCAGCACAAAAGTTTCGCCGTTCTCCTTTGACAACTTTTCACCGTGCACAAGATATGCTAGAAGGGAAACTAAAGATCGCAAGTCCTTCAAAGAATGGGAAACTGTAGAAGTGATGAGATTCGCGTTCGAAACTGAGAAGCAACTGTGAAAACTGATGCTCCTCCCAAGACTTGTGACGTGCAATTTGCATCAATAAAACCCGCATTTAGGATTTCTAAGATTATTTTTGCGCTAGAATACTTAGGAATGTCTCAGCTGTACAGTCCCTGTAAATCATAATTATTACTATCTTTTATTGTAACATTTCAACTTAAAAAAATAATGAGAAAAATTTCAATTGTTTCGTACAAGTACTTATAATCAAGATAATTTATGCAAAGTTTTATGGGGATTAATTTATTGTTATTAGTTGTTCTGTAAATAAATAAAGTTTACTATTAAATTTTACTTATTTATTAAACAACTAATCAGTAAATCGCCTTAAAATTTTACATAAATTAGCTTCATTATTAAGTATTTATATAAAAAATTGAAATTTTTCATCATCTTGTTTTAAATTGAAACATTAGGATAATAAAAATAATAATACAATAATAAAGTAAATGAACTATAACAATGTGTTGTTAAATTATTACATGATTTTATTCACAAAACTATTTTTTTACACGTATATAGTTTCAGTATTTTTATATGAAAAGTATAAGTATTGATACATTTCCAATTTCAAAATTTTTTGCAGGGACTGTATGTATCTCTGATACATCCTTAATTCTTGCGATCTTTAAAATCTTTAAAGCTTCGAATCAAATTTTTGCATTAAATTATTTACACTGTGTATTTCTTACAATATAAACTTCACGTTTTATGAGATCGGTACACTCTTTTCTCGAATAAGTCTTGGTAAGCGAAACATCCTTTCAAGTCTCGTAAAGAAGTTTATCGTCGCGTAGAAAAATAGAAATAGACGCCGGGCGATACTGAGAGCTTCTGGCTAAAAGTTTTTCAACCGAGACGAAACTTACGATCACTGTGTAGATTTAAAAAATTTTGAATCAAGTGGAAGAGATCGTGATTCTCAGAAGATGAAAGGGAACTAAATTAGTAAGCAGGACTGCTGAAAGTTAGATATGATTAACGAGACGTCACGACAATTTAATATTTAAATTATTTCGCGTTTGCAAAATTTAAAACATCAAGGTTACTTTATTCCATAAGACAGACTAATTGTTCATATAAAATTGAACAAGAAATTCACGCCCTCTCATAGCACTTACAACAACGTGCTAACTTTTCGCCGGCAATTCCTTAACCAATATTAAACCCCTTAATAAATCAAGTTATAAATTTCAATCAGGAATCTCTCGGAAACTTTCGTTTCTCCTTTCTCTAGAAGCTTCTTTCATCAGTCAAAGAATTTAACGTCGATTAACTACGCTACTAGTAATTAGCGTCAATATATCGACAGAGATGAATCCCGAGAGTGCAAGGAAAATCTCAACAGGAACTTTGACAGAGACCGAGCGGAAACTTCGGACTTTTTGATCTTGGTTTAGATCTTAAAAATTGCAGGAAACTCTGCAGGGGGGAAATATCCCTGGAGGACTTACGATTTCTTTCCTAGCTGCTCGACCTTCTGCAAGAAGGAAAAAGTAACGAACAGACAGAACGAATGGACACATAGAAAAATAGTTTACTACATCACTAGTATATAAGGATATAGAATCAGAAACAGAAAGAAGTATAAATCTTATAATAAACTAGTAAAACAATAAAATAATATATTTATATTATATGTTTTTTAATAAAGCTATTCTTTTTCTAAAAAAATAATTACTATTAATTAATTGATCGTATTTTACATAATAAATGCCTTCTTATAAATACTTTTTAATACTTTGAAGAAAGTATCTCTTTGCACATCATGTTAATATGTGCATTTTAATATGTAAAGTACTTGTTTTACAACAAAATAAATATCAATGCAAAAATCACAATTCCTATGACGCATTCAGATCGATATTTTTTTGTCGAGCATAAAATTTTCTAAAAATATTATTTTTAGGTATAGACTTATCAAATCATCTTATCATCTTTAGTAATAATAACATTTAAGAAAAATATCTTTATGCAAAGATTTTTATAATTTTTTTTTATATGATTCAACGAACAGAGAAATCTCTCCTTTTCTCTATACGACTCGCAACGCAGAGCCGACGAAAGCGTCGGCCCTTTAAATCAAAAGTTCTTCATCGACATTCCGATCGAGTGGACACGAAAGCGCGGAAAGAGCTGCTCGATTATTCTCATTTCGTTCCGCCGCCATCACTTTAATGGCGTTGTTTCGTATCGGACGTAGGCCTTTGTGCGGAATATCGAATAGCAGCTTTGAATCCTTTCGAACTAAAAAGTTTTTCATCGACATAACGTTTCGAGATATCAACGATAATTTTTCAGCGTCATAGATAGAATATATTTATCATAAAACGATTTTAACGAGAAAAAATTATGATTTTATTCACAGTATTATACCTTCGTGAAGTTAACACTCCATTTTTAGAATTTTACATGTACAGTAATCGAAATAAAATTCTAATTCTTCCGTAAAATTCTGGAATGATTCAAATATGATATTTCTGATATGATTCAAAAGGAGTTTTATCTATCAAATATAAAAAGATTAAAATTAAAAGAAATAATGTTGAAAAGGGCTACGAGTCCTTATGCAATAAATTCAGTAAATTCAATATTAATGATATTAACATAAAAATTATAAGTAAAAGCGTTACAAAAATTAATTAATAATTTTTATGTTAATATAAATAATGTTTATGTTAATATATATCGTTAATACTAAATTTATTGTTTTGGTCCTTTTTTCAACATTATTTCTTCTAATTTTTATTACTTAAGCCATATTATATTATGTATTTTAAAAAGATTAAAGTTTATAGATACTAATTTTATAATTCTATTTTTCTACAAACATTGATAATAAGTTTATTTTAACTAAAATTAATTATTAAATTTCTTATGCCGTGAATGTTTTAATAAAACTCTTGAAGCATTGTTAAAAAAATTCTAAAGAAAGTACCACACAAATTTCTGGAAAAGATTTGTATAACTAACAGAAAATGTTCATCTATTAAAAAATCGTCAGAATATTCCTATATTTCTTTCACGTGTTTAATTTATCAACATTTTTTTAAATATAATACAAACTTCACACAGAATTCATTGTGTAAAGCCTCTCAATGATATTAAAATTCTGAAAATGAGATATTTATTTCCCCAAAGCCGGTATTACGATGTTGTAGTAATTTATAAATGTGATTCCCTATTCTCTCATCATCGCTTTCCTTTTTGAATTGCAATAAAAAAAAACTTATAAAAGTGTACGAATTTTGTTCTCTATTGTGCATTTTGTTAAAGCTCATTTCTATAAACATTAAGAAGAAAAATTGCCTTTATTATAGAAGGCATACACAAAAAAATATAGCGGCTATTATGTAACATGATTTCCGCTGAAACAGCTACTCTTGTATCAGACACGTTGCGAAAATTGCTCAAAAGCCGGTGTTTTGTGGTTTGAAAAGTTATCCATCACCATGCACTAAAAACTATAAATTCCGTTTCAATAGTCGGCCATTGAAACTGTAGGGCATTCGAGCGATGTCGCCCGTAGCGTCGTGTTTGCATGCGCAATGTCGGTTCTAGCCAGCCAAAAAACACATTGCCTCTGTCTATTTGAAATATTTTAATCGGACAGTGGCGAAGACAAAGGATCTACGCGTCAAAAAATCATTTTTCGATTCTTTCTCAAAGCGAATATTCAGTCAGTATTGCGAAAAATAACACCACTACCATTTTTTCGCAACATCGTAGCAGCTTTTGTGAACTACATGAAAACCGTTGATTCGCAAACAAATTTGAAGAAAAACCTATCGAATTCTCACAATAATATTATTCAATAATCAAGATATTTTAATATTTAAAATTGAATCTTACAAGACATGAAATTTTGCTTTATTCTTTAATCTTTGCTTTATTCAGAAATATTAATAGAGTACTATAAAAAAATTAATATTTCAGAATTTATAAAAACTAAAGTTAAATTATCAAATTCCTTCATTTTAGATCTTTATAAATCTACGATTCTTAATTTCTGTAGTTTTAATCATACGAACTTTACTCTTATTCGATAAAAATGTATAAAAATATCATTTTAATTTGTTTTTCACTTTCAGAAGTTTGTCACTTTTAAAAATAGAGATATATTATTATCCTTTATTACGATATAAATTATTCGTGTCCAGTTTAATTTTCATCACTTTTATCATCACAAGTACACAAATATTATTAAATAATTCTTACAATTTTAATATCTTTAGAAAATATTTAAAAAGTTGCAGTGTAATAAAAAAAAAGAAAAAGTAGGAACTAGCCATATGTTCTTAAAATTTTAAAGAAAAGAAATGCGCAAGAATGTGTAACCGTGTACTGAGGATAAAAAAATTAGATAAAACAGAAAGTTATTGTTATATTAAAAATACATCATCAAACTTGAAAGTCTACTGTCCTATGTGAAGTTAATATTTC